CAGGGGCCTGCCCCCTCCCCACAGCGCCCCCTGCTGGGAGAACTGGGGCTGGAGTAACCAAGAGCTCCCCCACAGTCAGCACTCTGTCCTGCCCCATAGCACTCCCTGCTGAGCTGAAGGAGCCGAAAACCCTACGTGCCCCATTGGCCAGGCTTTGCCCTGCTGGGCTGGAGGAGCCAGGAGCCCCCACCTATGGGGTTTCTTACCCACAGTAACTCGGACGACAACCTGCTGAAGAACATTGAGCTGTTTGACAAGCTGGCACTGCGCTTCAATGGGCGGGTCCTGTTCATCAAGGACGTGCTGGGGGACGAGATCTGCTGCTGGTCCTTCTACGGGCAGGGGCGCAAGATCGCCGAGGTCTGCTGCACGTCCATCGTCTACGCCACCGAGAAGAAGCAGACCAAGGTATCCATGGGCCCTTTCACTTGGTACATTCCATGAGAAAATTCCCTCCCTTCCTAGCACACTGGTCTGTTCCGAGGATGTAGGTGAATCTCTCTTATAATGTTAGCACATGGTATGTTCCTAGGAAATGTGGGTGGCCCCTCTCTGCTAGCACAAGGACTCTTGGTGTGGTCCAGCACCCCTTGTCACCTTCATATTTGGTATGATCCAACGGCACCTGAGCAGCCCCTTCTTCTCAAGTGACATGTGCACTTGGTATGGGCCAACACAATGTGAGTACCGCCCCCCTCTCCTCCTAATCAAACTTGGTGTCATCCAAGGCATGTGCGTGGTCACCTGGGCACTTGGTACAGTCTAATGTCGCCAGATGGTTCCCCTTTGCCTGTGGGTTTTTCTTGGTATGTTCCATAGACAGCCCATTTCTCCTGCCCTTTTCAACGTTACACTTGGGATATTCCAAGACAACATATGACTTTTCTCTCCCCACCTACCCTGAGGTTTGGTAACTTCCAAAGCCTCATGCACACTTTGAGGCTGTGGGGGAGTGGCTTGTGAGGAAGCCCCGCCCCTGACCCGAGCCTGACCTCTGACCCCCCACAGGTGGAGTTCCCTGAGGCGCGGATCTTTGAGGAGACACTGAACATCCTGATCTACGAGACACCGCGGGTCCCCGACAAGGCGCTCTTGGAAGCTACGGGTGGGGCGGCTGGGGGCGGGGGCGGCTCCCCCCGAGGCTGTGGGGGAGTGGCTTGTGAGGAAGCCCCGCCCCTGACCCGAGCCTGACCTCTGACCCCCCACAGGTGGAGTTCCCTGAGGCGCGGATCTTTGAGGAGACACTGAACATCCTGATCTACGAGACACCGCGGGTCCCCGACAAGGCGCTCTTGGAAGCTACGGGTGGGGCGGCTGGGGGCGGGGGCGGCTCCCCCCGGGCAGAGGAGGAGGATGGGCGGGAGCACCGGGTCCGGCGCATCCACGTTCGGCGCCACATCATGCATGACGAGCGCCCCCATGGCCACCAAGCCGTGTTCAAGGACTGAGCCTCTCCGCCCCTGCAGCCTCGTCCAGGTGCCAGACTGTGGAGGTGCCCCCTGCTGCCTCTCTGACCTGTCACGTTTTTATCTTTTGACCTCTGACTCTTGACCTTTCTGGGTTCTCCCTTGACCCCGTCCACTCTTTGGGAGCTCTGATCCTTGACCCCTTCTCAGGTTTGCCAGCTCTGCGGTAGAGACCTGGGTAACCCCCTGCACTGCACAGGGAGGTAGGAGGCAGTTCCTGGGAGGGGTCCCTCCTGCTTCTAATCATCTAGGTACCAACATTCATGTTTAACAAGCCTGGTTCCTTCTGTGGGTGTGTGGAGTCTGTTCAGCCAGCCTAGATACCTGTGTCATAGCTCAGCCCGGCACTGCAGGTCAGGCCGGGATCCTGGGGCTGAGAGGCCAGTGCTGGCTGATGGGGGTTCTGGCTGAGTGGAACTGTGGGCTGGGCTAGTCCAGTCCTGGCCTCTTGCAGCAGGGGCCACTGCAGGAGTTTTGCTACCTGTCCCCTTCCCTTTGTTTCTGGGGCTAGGGGAGTGACCCCCAAGTACTAGCCTCAGAACTGTCCTTGGTACGTTCCAGCCTACCAGATTACATGTCCCTTCTCTAGTCTGGCCCCTGTTTGTTACGTGGTACAACCCTGCTACTGTCCTTTAAATAGATTCACCTCCCTCCATGCTCCTTATGGTATGTGCCAGCCTACAGCACCCCCCTCCCTCCCCTTCCTCAGAAAAACACAATTTGCACCATTCTCTTCTCCCCTTGGTCAAATACAATGGAATATTCCATTTTTGATCCAACCTCCCAATAAAATGGGAGGCACAGACCCCTCCCCTCAGTAAACTTTAAATCAACCAATCTAATTGGGTACAAGCTACAATGGGATGTTCCACCATGCCTCCAAATAAATACAGTGGGGTGCTCCAAGCCCCATCCTCTCAAAATAAAATGGAACATTCCACCCTGCCAGTAAAATGGCATGTTCCAGTCCCCTTCCCTTACAGAGTAGAATGGGATGCTCCAAAGAGAATAGGATGTTCCAAACATCAAGCCCCATAAAAATACAATGGGAAGCTACAATGGGATGTTCCACCATGCCTCCAAATAAATACAGTGGGGTGCTCCAAGCCCCATCCTCTCAAAATAAAATGGAACATTCCACCCTGCCAGTAAAATGGCATGTTCCAGTCCCCTTCCCTTACAGAGTAGAATGGGATGCTCCAAAGAGAATAGGATGTTCCAAACATCAAGCCCCATAAAAATACAATGGGCTGCCCCTGCTCCTCCCCCGAACTGGGTCGTTCCAAACCCCACCCCGTAGAAACCGTAGTGGGACAAAGGGGTCGGGCTCCCAGGGCCCCCCCTCGCCTGCCCCCCACGGTCTCCATTCTTGTTTGTCAGGTTGGAATTATTTATTGTAACGAGGTTTTTGCTTTTCTATTAAATTATTGTAATAAAGGTTCCTGGGAGACGTCCTCTCTTGGTTGTGGCGCCCCCCGCGGGAGCTCTCGGGGCCAGGTGGGAACAGCCCTGCCTCCCCGCCCTGGGGCTGGATGGGAGGCAGCACCCCCAGGCACATCCTGGGCTCCATTTCTGGCTAATTTGGGAGAGCCGGGCAGTGCCCAGCCGCCAGGCCTGGCTCTTGGGCGGGTGGGGGCTGTAGAGCCGTGCTACGCACTGACACGACAGGCGCAGAGTGTTTTAACCAGGGCTCGGGGCCTTGCAGCGTTCGGGTTCAAACAACAGGGGACCAAGAAAGCTGGAGAGGCAGGAGCCATGTGGGGCCCTGCTCAGGGCTGGATGGGAGCCAGCAGTGCCCAGGGCTGTTAGGAACAATTCAGTGGGGCTGGCAAGGCACGAGCTGCAGAAGACGCTGGGGATGGGTCTGGCTCCAGCCCTGCCCATCTGTCCTGTAGGCACAGACCCGCCATGGATCTGCCACCGAGCCCAGCTCTATGGGCTAGGGGCAAAGATGTAATCCAGTGCCTGGCGTTCAGCCCCAGCCACATTGGGGTGCCACAGATCCACGATGAACAGCACACAGGGCCCGTCCTCGGGGGAGCCTGCAAGAGATGCCAGGCTCAGAGGTGCTTCCCACGCCCAGCAACCGTCCCCCTGGCACCCTAGCCCTGGGCTCCCCCAGCCCTGCTGTGCCCCTCACTCCCGACCCGTACTCCCTGCCCCCAGCCCTGCTGTGCCCCTCACTCCCGACCCGTACTCCCTGCCCCTCACTCTCATCCCACAGCCCCTGCCAACCCAGACCCTCCCTGCCCCCAGCTCTGCTGGTGCCCCTCACTCCCGACCCACAGCCCCTGGCGGCCCAGCCCTGGGCTCTGCCAGCCAAAGGAGATTGACTAAGGAGTAATTTACCAGTTGAGTAGTGGCTGGAATTTCCATGGACTAGTCGATGGGCATGTCCTCATTCCTCCTCTGAAGTGTACACGGGTCCCCTGGGCTTGTACGTTTCAGAGGAGGATGTGGGGCTCCGCATGCAGCCCGGGCCCAGGGGGCGTCCTGCTGACGCCAGGCTGCACAAGGGCACTTACCCTTTGAAATGCTCAAGAGCCCCAAGGCTGGTTGTGAATTTCAGAGCAGAAGCCCCCGAGTGGAGTCCAGAGCCAGGGGACTTCCAGCTGGCCCCGGGCTGCAGCTGGGCGCCGCCTTTGAAATGTACAAGAGTCCCCAGCGAGGGCTCTTGTGCGTTTCAAGGCGGAAGTGCCCACATGGAGCCTGCCAGCTCCGGGCTCCATGCTGCACTGAGGCTTTGAAATGGCTTGCAGCTCCTGGGCCTCTGTGCGCTTAGCAGGCCCGGTCTCAGGGCAAGGAGAGCAAGGCAGTTGCCTTGGGCCCCGTGCTGCCTGGCGCCTGGCTGGGAGCCGCCCAGCCACGCGGACCACGTGACACGATGCAGCCAACCACGCCATGCCGCCTTGGGCCCCGCAAACTCTTGGGCCGGTCCTGGCGCTTTGAAATACCGCGCTGGAGCCCGGGATCAGCTGTGTGGTGCCGCCCCGGCATTTCAAAGGGGCAGCGCCGCGTGGAGCCCGGGGACTGACGTGACACGATGCAGCCAACCACGCCATGCCGCCTTGGGCCCCGCAAACTCTTGGGCCGGTCCTGGCGCTTTGAAATACCGCGCTGGAGCCCGGGATCAGCTGTGTGGTGCCGCCCCGGCATTTCAAAGGGGCAGCGCCGCGTGGAGCCCGGGGACTGCCTCTGTGCAGCCCTGCCGCTTCGAAGCACCCTCTCTTCCCCCAGCTTCGCTGCCTCC